CATTCTTCAACTGGTCGTATACATTTCTACCACCTGCACGTTTAGTTCGACCAGACCTATATACGGGTATGGCGCTAAATAAATATAGGAACAAGTTTTTCAAATATTTCAATTGTTGCTGCTTAGCGACCGAGCCTGGTACATACCTTGAAATAATAGGTTCTTCAATTGACTTCGGAAAAACTATACCTCGAAAACACACGTTTATTGATCTGGGAAGTAGAATCCACCATTAAAGTTTGGCATGGTATTACACTAACACCCTGTATATCCCTCGCTATGGAAGCAGACAAACACGATTTAAACTGACAATAATATTTCAAAAGAAACGTCACTCCTTTCGGAGCAGGGCTTAATTAACTCTTTATTATATTTTTCACAGGTGGAAAAATACTCAAATAAACAGAAGAAGTCTTTGGACACGTTGAAACAAACTCAATACCAGCAGGATATATTGACGTCAGTTACTTTACGCAAGTTCCCTTTTAATTAAAACTTGCGGTATTAATTTCACAATTCATTATTACTGCGCAGTAAATTTTACTTCTCAAATATATTATTAACAGACATACATGCTTTTACATGCAAAACTACGAGATAAACTATAATTTCCACAATTATACACCGCTGTGGAGATACTCGAAATACTAATAATTAATCCTCTTTTCACACGCAGAACATTCGCTGAAATTGAAAATAAGCGGATTATTACTTGCGTATTATTATTTAAAAAAATATATATGGATTTATGAATGCAATTTTCCCAAATACTGTTGAATGTGTGTACAACTATTGAATGGATATATTAGTGTGCTGTGTGTGATAAATGGTAGAGGGTCAGCAGATTCAGAAGCGTTTACAAATTCCTTATTCAAAAGTAACACGTTTTCGAGAAATACGTAGAGGTGCCGCCACTAGAGCTCCCAATAATCCGTGTCTATAGTTTATCTACTGTGTTGTTTCAAAATTTAGAGAAAGAAAATGTGCACCTAATATCACAGACTTTGACAGGCATTCTCTGTTTGCAAAAACATTTTCACATCATCGAAATTGAAAAACAGATGCGACGAACGTGAAGATGAAAAGTGATGTTTGGGCATCAACTGCTGCCGAATGAATTCCAAAACTGGATATCGAACTGAAAAGCACGCGCAACAACTCTACACAGGGCGCAGTTTTAAGTAGGGCCCATATTTATTTAGCTATACCCATATGCAGGTCTGGTCGCCCAGTTGAAGAATCAGCGCACAGGCAAATGCGGCACAAACACAGCCGTACTGGGCGACCTGGCCATAAATTCAGTTGTCGACAAATGGCCTAGCAGTGCAGTGCAGCAATGCGAAATTTGGTGTGATTCAGGTAATTTTAATTTACTAGAGGCACCATCTATTAAGCATTCATATTACAATTGCGAAAGGGATAAGAGGGATATTTTATTTGCTAATATTATTACATGGCATTTTGGAGACTTTTTGAAACGGAACAAAACAAAATTTTCCATCAATATAATAAAATTGTTTGAGAACATAATATGTTGTTGGCCAAATGAACATATAATAGACATTTTCTACACATTATATACAAATTATTATAATTTTTTACCTTTAACATAAAACTTTTTTAGGGACGCCTAAACCCATTAAATTTTATTGCTAGGCGTTCTTATACATGTTCAACTGACTTCAGAAAGACTATACCCGGAATTTACCTATTAAGTTGTATTCCTGCACTACCAACGTTGCCAGTTGTTTTTAAATTGTGAGAAGTTGTGGAAATTAATTTATCAAAACAAATTGTTTTTATAATTTAGCAACTTATTGTTTTAAAGACACCATATTTTTTTGATATCACTGTGGTCGAAGCGCCGAACATTAGAAAAACATTGTATTGTTTCTAAAAAATTTTTACAAGAAATACTAATATTGGTACGTAAATACGTTACTATGTAATTGTAAATATATTTTTTAATCAACTGTTATCCAGCGAAACTTATGATAAATAATTTAGTGAAAACACATTGCTTTTCTATGATAACGACGTGTTATTGTAAAGTCACCATATTGTTCTGATGTCAATGTGGATGGAGCGCCGAACATTAAAAAAATTGTTTTTACGAAATTAAAAATGTTCACAAGATTTATTAAATATTAACCAAGATACGTTACTAATTGTAAATAAAACTAATTTATGTTTTAAAATAATTATTTTTGCTGTTTTAAAAACATAATAAAAAATAAATAAAAATACTAACCTGATTAATATGACATACTTTTTTAAAATGGTTTCAAGTTTTTACAAACATTTATGTGCTACTATTTTTTTAAGCAGTGCATCATGTTCCGAAGGGAACGGAAGATAGCCACAGCTGTGCTGCTGAAATGCAATACCGCCTTTGAAAAACCGCAACTACAAATTGTCTTCACACCTGGCATGATATGACGTGATGGTAAACGGGTTTGTTACATTTTTACATTAGTTTTCGACTTCATCGGTTTACGAGAGGCTGTTAAATTCCTGGGTTAGCTGAATCTTGAATGGATGCAAACCTTTTGTTACAATCCGTTGCATTTGTTACAATCCGTTGCAATATTTTGGACTGAACGGCCAGTACGAGGCCGGCCTGTTCTTTTATTGTCTGCAACCGAACTTGTTTGTTCAAATTTGGCAACTATTCTCTTCACAGTTATTTACCGAAAGTCTCAGCTACACACTCTCCATACTTTTAATGGATTTTCACAATTTTCACTCGCTCATCCATCGTATAGCCCTCCATTTTGTCTAAACCCTGCGTTGCTTTTTTATGTTTTCGCAAGAAAAAAATATATTTTCAAATATGAAGAGACCAAAGTATACCTTTTCACCCCTAAGGCAAAATTTGTGGAACTAAGTGCTTTTAAATTAAATGTGTGTATTTTCGCAAACTCCCGTTACGTGGGGGATTCAAATTTCAGAATTCGTTAAATATTCTCTTTATATAATGATATGCATATACTTCGTACAATTAAATTACTCTGGAAATGTAGAAACTTGACAATACATTATCTGATAAATACGGAAACTTTTTAATTAGGAGAAATTATCCAAGTCCGGAGTTCATTCGTACACCATCGTTTCAACTAGTAATGTGAGATTATTCAGATTAAATCATTATATTCTATATCAGGCACAGGTAATTGTGCAACTTTTACTCATACATATCGTTCTTAGATGCACATACTTACAGGATGGTATCTTGAAAAAAAAAAATGTATTCATACCTAATAAGCCCCCAAAGGAAAGTGTAGAAAAATGTTCAACAAGCTACAGGAAATACTCGACAAACTTTTTTTAAACTAAAAATATATGAGTATATATCCTTAAAGAATCTTTTTTTATTGTTTTATTGTTAGATTTTGTTATAAATACCGTTAGGAAATTCCCTGGAAGTCGTGATCTTACAAACTGTCCAAAGACAGGATCTTTGTTATCAGCAAGCAATCGGCAATGCCACGAACGTAATTCGTGATCAACGGAACAAGTGTGATCGCATACGCGCAATGTCTTCAAGCACGGCGCGTCAGTAGGGGTCTATCAGGTACGTATTTTTATTTTATTGCATTTCTTTTTGCACTTATGACACATTCATCCATTTCATTTCTGCCGAATTCAAATAAATCACCATGTACAGTAATAACAAATGTATTCTGAGATAAAAATATTACTTTTCTATGTTGCGAAATAAGCTGTACCTTTATTTGCATAACAAATAGGTTGCGCCTGATAAATTTTGTTGTGTAAAGGACGTGTCAGTAAAGAATATTTCCCATTACGACGACACTTAATAAACTTTAATTGTCTAACGCACGATATTAAAGAAATTGTGTTATGCGTTTTGAGAGAAGCTGCAAAACATGACAGTATTGTATAACTCGTCATGTAGAATAATAAATTCGATTTTCGATAATTCGATAATTTCTCTGAAAGTAATTCGCAAACGACAAGGAAACCTTGTTAAAAACACTCTCAAAACACCGTCACTTTTAGGAATTCTCTTAAAAATATGTCATTTATTTAAATTATTAATAATTTTATAAAATTAACAGAGAATTGTTTACGCACATATGTAAGAAGTATGTAAAATAATGTTGCTAATCCGTTAATAAAAATTAATGGACATTTTCACAAAAAGACAATACGAATTAATTTTCGAACATTTTATTACATATTATACAGGGCGTAACTTTAAGTAGGGGTCAGTTTTTTAGGGGTAATCGTACGTATTCCCCTGAATACAAATCTGATGTTCCTTTTTTTTTTCGAGTTACAATTAATTTTTTAAACTGCATTTTAATTCTTTTGTACTGGATAGCATAATCCGGAATTTACCTATTAGCTAAACTATACTCCTGTTACTGCTACAGTTTAAATTTAAGCAGAATCCCATCATGTTCCGAAGGGGACGGAAGTTAGCTGTGCTGCTGAAATGCCATACCGCTTTTGAGAAGCAGCTACTGCAAATTATTATCTTCACACCTGACATGATATGACGCGATGGTAAACGGGTTTGTTACATTTTTACTTCAGTTAGTTTGCGAGAGGGTGTTCGTAAAGTGCCTTTATGTGGTGTGAGAGAACTTTAAGTGTGGTTTAGTTTTTTTTAGAAGCAATATACGCGTTCCCCAGAATATATTTTCAACCAATTGTATGAAACTAAAGAAGGGGCAGGGAGTAAAAGTGCAATGGAAAATAACTTTGTACAAAGAAATTGATTCTGTAAGACTTTGCGAGATGTTATTTTAAAGTCACCATATTTTTTCGACATGTTTTATTAAATTCAATCTTAAAGTAAATTTTAAAAATCATAGCTCAATTGCGCATGCGCACACGATTCGGTTTTCACAACGTAATTTGAGAAAACAAACTTATGGTATGTTTTGCTAAAGGTCAAGCCTCCGTACAAATATGACCCCAGTCAAAGATACACCCTGTATATTTATGGTATAAATAAAAAAGTCACTCACCTCGTTAGACGAATGACACTCTCAGATCTTCTGACGAAGAGAGCTCTCTCCCAAAACGTCACTGCTTCAGGTAAGATCGTGTTCTGAAAAGAAAATCCACATACTGAAATAATTTCATAACGATGTAGTATCATATAATTAAAATTATATAATAATATTATTGAGATGTAGAGGTATTAGGAAAGAAAGTACCATATTATTATCCTATGGTGATGTAAGGATATTTTAAGGCCAACAAATTGAAGTGTGTTAATGAAAGTATTTACACCGCACTTCATACTTAAATATAGTATTTTGAGAACTAGCTTACGAGGTAAATGTGACCATTGTACAGCCGATACTTATACTACTTAGCTAAAATAGTAACCAGGAGAAGCAGTAGGAGGTACTTAAAAGGGCTCTATAGCAAATAGCCAACCAGCAATACATTTTTATAGATTTTATTATACAGTTTGTCTCAATATCAATTAATGCACAAATAACAGACTTTCCTCCATTCTAACGCAGATTTTCCGCTTTTGAACAAGCTGCATCATAAATTACAAATTTCTTTACACCAAAAAGTAAATTGAGTTTCAAACTAAGTCCATTTTATAGAAAATATGCGTTAAAATGGGGGAAAGTCTGTTATTTGTGCATTAATTCATATTTAGACAAAATGTATTGTCGGTTGACTATTTGCTATAGAGCCCTCTTACGAAATCAAGTATTGGGATTGATTATATTTCACATTACAAAGAACAGAAAATGGAACTATTTTTATTCCAATTTATATTTTTAAAAGAGCGGTAAAAAATTATAAGAGCTGGATAGACAAAGGTAACCAGTAAAATAAAATAAAGTAACCTAATATTTCAGAAGTAATTAACTTTTAAATATGTACGCTTTTAGCATTTTGCAAAACTAATGATTATCCTTTTACAGAATTACTGAGGTAGGTTATTTTTACTTTGTTGTGTTTTAATAAATGCACTGATAAAAGTTTCATTCGTGTTTTGTTTCACACTTTCTTACTCAAGACGTTATATTATTAAGCAACTGATGGTCTAAACAGAAGCATGTAGTTCTCTTTTCGAGAAAATTAATTAAAAAAATTAACCATAACTGTATTTTAAATGCCGTTGTACAATAACATGTACATGTCTGCCTCTGATCTGAAGCTATCTAGCAGTCTAATGCCTGCCTAGTCACCTTTTTGTGTGAGTATGTCACGTGTTTTTTGTGGTAATCAGTAGCATTGTATATTGTGAGCGTAGAGCAGCACACGGCTTGGTCACAGATTTAGCACATATATCTGCTAGATTTTTTTTTACTACAAACGTATTTTGCGCAGCGACATCTACACAAATATCGTGGTACTTTGTTTCTTAATAAACATTATCCATATGAAACATAATAAATAACGAAGATTATTGACATTACACATATATAGAATTTCACTTATGGATACGACTCTATTGTGAGAAAAGCCTGGACCGTGCTTGTAATAAGATTAAGAATACTTTTCCTTTTTCAATTCCAAAAATAGAAATTGAATGGCGAAAGAGAATATCACTCACTCGTGTTATATCTCATGATTTTAACAAGAAATCCATGCAATTATATTTAGAAATATACAATCTCGATTGTGCGAGATAAAAAATATATTTCTACAGCGGACATTGCACAAAATAAGTGAAATGTATATTGTCTGTAATTATTTACTTGTGGCTTCTTTTCATTTGACTGACTATTCCTGCCACACTTAAAAAGAAACATTTTAAACAGATTTTATAAAAAGTAATTAAGGGCCTTCTGAAGAGATATAAGATATCACATAATATTTATTCTATTATTATTTACCTCCTCGATGAGAATATTCAACCAGCGACTATCAAAATTTAAGGAATTATTAGAAAAGTAGGCGAATCGACATTCGACATCATCATCGTCAGCATAATCATCATCGCCATCGTTGTCATAATTTCTTGTAAAATAAAAAAAGTACTAACCTAACATTCGAAAACAATTATTATCGCTACACATTTGTTTTTATTAACAAATAAACAATACCTGGTAATATTTAAAATGTAAAAAAATATCTTATTCATTCATGTGTCTAGGTAAAAAGCTCTTTTTCATTATCGTTCTCAATGGATTAAAAATGCATTAAAAGCTAGGTTAATGACCACTGTGGATGAACCTTTGTGGGTAAGCGGTCAGGAGCGGTCCGAGAAGGGGTTAGTAATGATTTGAAAATATGTTTTTTCAGGGTAAATATGCATTTTAAAATTTTTTAAATCGAGTATTTGTATTCTACTGATTTTTTCCTATGTTCCCTTAAAATTAATGACATCATGACTGAATCACCCTGTATACAGGAATCTCAAGTAAAGTGTAGAAATAAAATAGGTCTCTTTGTAGTAGTTGTTTTTCATGTGATTAGTCTTTGTCAAAGGTGGTATAGTCTTTCCGATATCAATCGAAGAACTTGAGGATGTACCAAGTTCGGTCGTTGACGCAGCAACTCGGCATTGAAATATTTGAAAAACTTGTTCCCATATTTATTTAGCCATACCCATACAAAAGTCTGGTCAAACTAAACGTGCAGCTGGTAGAAATGTATACGCCCAGTTGAAGAATGAGCATGCGGGCAAACAGCAATATGCACTGTTGCTCTGATCAACTGCGTCATAAATTTCAGTTGTCGACAAGTCGCCTGGCAGTGCAGTGCAGCAATTCGGAATTTGATGTAATTCAGATAACTTTAATTTATTATAGGCACCCTCTATTGATCATTCATATTACAATTGCAAAAAGGGAGAAATAAGAAGGATATTTGGTTTACTAATATTATTACAACATGGCATTTTGGAGACCTTTTGAAACGGAACAAAACGAAATTTACCATCAATATAATAAAATTGTTTGATGACATAAAGAATTAAAATATGTTGTTGATCAAATGAACATATATTACAAATTTTCTACACATTATATACAAATTATTACAATTTTTTAACTTTAGCAGAAAACTTTTTTAGGGACGCCTATGAAACTCATTAAATTTGATTGCTCGGTTTTTTTATACATGTTCAACTGACTTCGGAAAGACTATAATAGAACAGCACATATGCAAGATATTTCTTTGAGTGGTTGGATTATTTAGCATATATCAAGTATGTGTTTTTGTATTCTTATATTACTGAACCGTAAGAGAACCACGTGTTAATTCCTACATATTACAAGTCACGTCTTCATCTTGTAGCAGGAGAACATTCCTTGAAACTAAATATTAATCTGGAATCACACCGATTCAACATTTATGCAACACTTCGCATTCTAAACGCCAAACTGTGCAGCGATGAACGCGAAATTTGTCCCAGTTATTTCAGTAAACTCGGTACCAATAGTTTCCTATGAAAAGATTTTTGCTTGTATAGTCTTTCCGCGAAGTCAATTGAAAATGTATAAAAACGCCCAGCAATAAAATTTAATGAGCTTCATAGGCGCCCCTAAGAAAAGTTTTCTGCTCAAGGTAAAAAATTATAATAATTTGTATATAGAAAATTTTTATTATATGTTCATTTGACCAACAACATATTTTAATTATTTATGTCCTCAAACAATTTTATTATATTGATGGTAAATTTTTTTTGTTCCGTTTCAATAGGTCTCCAAAATCCTATACGAATGATTAATAGGTTTACAATAAATTAAAATTAAGCCAATCACACCAAATTCCGCATTGCTGCACTGCACTGCTATGCCATTTGTTGACAACTGAATTTGTGGCCACGTCACCCAGTGCGGCTGTGTTTGTGCCGCGTTTGCCCGCGCGTTCATTCTTCAACTGGGCGACCAGACGTGTATATGGGTATGGCTCAATAAACATGGGAACAAGTTTATCAAATATTTCAATGCCCAACCTACAAGGCGTCTGCAGTAGTGCTGTAAATTCAGTACGAAATAGTATAGATCAGAATAAACAGTTTTGTTTCAGTGTGGTGACATATTTTTCAGATTTTAGAAAAATATAATCAGCACACATCTGCGCCACTGGTTTGGGCTGTATTGTGCATACAAAATTTATTTTTTAAAGCTTCGTTTTTTCAAAAGATCGTTAATTTTTGATACACAGTATTTATTACGCCCCTAAAAAGTTTTAAATGTTACCAATTAAAACAAAATTTACAACAAATTCACAATGCTCTTTTTAAGGCAACTGATACATTTTTTATCTCTGTTAGAAGGGGATATAAGGCAATGAAAACGAATTGAAATCAAATACGAATCGCAGTTTTTGAAAAACAACTTCAGACCTTATTCGCCGAACTCGCAAGAGAAATAATCCCATTTTCAATTACCGTGTTTTTATTCAATAGCCTACTTATATAATATTTTCTCTGGAATTTTATTATGTATAAAACAACAGAACAAAGCCACCGACTTCCACTGAAAAATCTTTTGTTATCAAATAGAAAACAAATGCTACGAAACATTTATAAACAAGACAATAATTGAGATAGCAGAAATATAAAGATATATGTAATAAAAAGGTACTAAACTTTTTTTCGCTTCATTAAACAACGAATTAAAAAACGTGTAAGATTTAAAAAATTGACACTTCATAAACCAGGAATCAGTTAGCCTAATTCTCGAAAATTTTTCGAATTTTTGTTGCACAGCCTCAAATAAAGCATCTAGATACTTGAAAATTTTTTCAGATAGTAAATACCGCTCAACCTTCCAAATGGTTTTTGAAAAATTGAAATCGGTTGATTAGGACGGCCAGAGTAAATTTTTAAAGTTCATCACTCTTTTTTTCTATTTTTAAACAATTAGATTACATTTATCAAAGTTAAGATGGAGCCAGGGCAATGTTTTCTTATTTAATAAAAAACCTAACCTAATTTTCTAATTAAAGTTAGGTTAGGTCAAGTTAAGTTTTTTCATATAGCAATATTACAGTTTAACACAATAATATCACTTGGTATATTATTTACAAACATAATACCAAATCCATTGGCTATGTTAAACCATGAATATGTTGTTTCTCTGAAACTAGATTCGACCGCACAAAAATAACTTCAATTCGTGTTCAGCAACCTCGACAACAGGGGAGTGCGAAAAATGTTCAAAAGATTTGAACCTTTTCCATTATAATAAATAATTACCCAAGATTGCATCGCCCTGTATACTGCAAGTGCAAATCTCTTATCTCGTACGTAAATCTTGGTAGGCTAAGTTTTTGAACCCTATATTTCCGCATTCAGAAGCAACGTAATAAAGATGCTAGAAGCTGATACATCCAGTAAAATACTTGCTCTCCCACATACACACGATGCGCCACAGCCAACTTTGTATTATTTAAAACGTGAAATTGCATAGCCGTTCTTAGAACTGCAGGGGCTCGGTGTTGTCGGTAAAAATTGTCGTTCCCCATATCTCGACAATGAACAGATGGTAGTATGTGTTCCCCCCCCCCCACCCAACAACACAATCTTTTACAAAAACAATAATGAAAAACAGTTAAATACTATTTACTTACATTTATCAACTCGAATCGTTCGTCATCCAATCTGAAAAAGAAAAAATAAAAATGTGAAATTAAAATATATACAAAAAGTAGCAGTACTCCGTTAAATCAAATTGAACATCTTCAACGATATATTACAATCAGATCAAGCAATCTCCGTGTCAGAGCTGGGTAATTACTTGTAATTTAAAAATAGTTACAATTACAAATTACTTTTTTAAAAAAAGGAACTAATTACAAAGTATATTCTTTAAAAAAGGAATTATATTAATTTAATTACAGTTACATGGAAAATGGATTTAGCAATTACTTTTCTAATTACTTTTATGATAAAGTAAATTATAGTGACCAAACAGAAAAAAAGGAAAAAGTTAAGTTAAAAATTTTAATTAAAAGTGTTGCGTTTTATTATTTATTAAAATTGATACTAAAATGAAAAGATTATTCTTATTCATTTTCTGATATAGAATTTTTATATTTTTATTCCTAATCTAATAATTTAAACTAGTTCAGTTCATACTATAATTTTATATTATTGGTCAGGTAATTAATTCAACCCGATGCTCTTTTTTTGGTTGTTAGTACATTTGCAAAATATAGAATACAGTA